TTGGGAGTTGGGGAGGACATAAGAAGTGCATCCCCATACACGAAGAGGGCGGACATGGATGGCTTTTGACCCGTCCACAGCTCAGCGGGGGTGGTGTAGGTGTGATGAGGATGGGGATGGAGATTGTGGAGGGCAGCAGCATGAAGCATGGCGTACCCCCAAAGAGAGGGAGGGGCGGAGGCGTGCGTGAGGAGGTAGTGAGCGATCTGCACCAATGTGCGGTTCCGGCTCTCGGCAACACCGTTCTGTTGGGGACTGTCCGGAAGAGTGAAGGTCTGACGAATACCCTCAGTAGAAAAAAAAAGCTTTGAGAGAGTTGTTGCGGAATTCACCGCCACCGTCAGAGTGAAGAACCTTGATGGTGGTTTTGAAGTGTTTGTGAGCCTGCTTGACCCATTCAATGATGACGCCTGGGGCTTCGGATTTGGAGGAGAGAAAGACACATCGCGTGAATAGTCATCAATGATGACAAGGAAGTAGAAGTATCCGCCACGAGAACGAACAGGAGCTGGGCCCTAAAGGTCCATGTGCACGCAATCGAGAGATGCAGCTAAGATGGACTCAGTGGGGGGATGGGGTAGTGTACGAAGCTTGCTCTGTGCACAGTCAAGCCAAGGCGGCCCTAGGGTGGAGGTAGGAGAGGGAAATGAGGCTGGAAGCCCGTGGAGGAGTTGTTATGTGGCAAGGTCCGAAAGCGCGCGGAAGTTGATGTGGCCAAGGCGGTGATGAAAGAGCATGGTTTTGTCGGAAAAGAGACGGCAGTGACAGGTGGAGGAGTCTATGGAAGGTAGCGGAAGGTTTGTGAGCGAGCATGTTTAAATGGGAGGTACTACGAGCGTGTATAGGTTGTTGGAGTTGAGAGTGAAGCAGGCTAGATGAATGCCGGCGTCAACGAGGTCACAGTAGTCGACATCATTGGGAAAGATGGTGACCACTCCTGCATATTGGATTTCACGTTGTGCCAGGAGGTTGTGGCTGAGGGTTGGGGCATACATGCCAGTGACTGTGCCCGATGGAAAGGCTGGACAGGGAACTGTGGAGGACCCATGGCATTGGATGGAGAAGCTAGAGTCGGCTCCGAGGAATGGGGTGGGAGCCTGGTAAGGAACGAATGCGGTTTGGTTTTTGAGCATTGTGTGGGTGGCACCACTGTCTAGTATGAACTCGATCCCTTGAATGTTTGAAACACCGATGTACTACGACCCCTTCTCATTAATAATACCACCACCGGAGTGTTGAGATAAGCGGTAGTCTTAGGAGCCATAGCTAGGAGAGTCCTAGCTAGGCAAGAGAGTTTAGGCGAAAGAGGGGGGTTGCACTAGCAAGAATGGGGATACAAATAGCAAACCCTAGAAGGGTTGTACTCGCTACAGAGCACCCCACTACAGGCTAGAGCATAATATTCTGACACACCCCCATAGCCAAAGTGGGGTGTAATCAGCAGAGCAAGCAAAGCAGTACAAGCTCAGGGTGGATCACAATGTCACCACACATTCTGAGCACAAGTTTAAGAAGCAATAGTTTAAAGTTCACAATTATGAGCAAAGCTAGTGGTAGTCACAACGGGGAAGTGAGGAGGAGGAGGGCTGGCGAGAGGAGAGTAGATGGGAGGCGACGACTGAAGCTGCAGTCACACGGGCAACAGACGGCTCTGGTGCGACACAGTGGCTACCGGGAGTGAGTGCCCCGGAGTACAGGAGTAACAGGCTCCGCGGCTAAGACGAGCAGCAGGAGCAACGGACCCACAGGCGACGGCGCAACCGGCTCTCTGAGCTACCGGGAGTGAGTGCCCCGGAGTACAGGCGCTGCGTACGACACGACGGCAACCTCCCCTCAACCTCCCCCAACAGTCCCACATCCCTCGACACACACCCGCTGCTACACCGCTAGCTCCACTCCCCCTTCACCCCCCCTTAGTACCACTCCGACGGCTCCAACAGGTCCACCCCCCTCAGCGGCAGCTGCAGCACAGGGAGACGGAGGAGGAGGAGCAGGGAACGGCACACAGAAGCTGCACCCCCATACCCCCCAACCCCAAACCCTAATCCAGGAGAACGGGCAGAAGGAGGGGTGGGGCGCCTTCAGAAGCACGGGGGACAGCGGGGAGGACAGGGGCAGCGAAGAACGGGGCGCCCACGGGCCTGGCACAGCCTCCCGAACCGCGCGCAGGCGGTCCGAGCCGCGCGCGGGACTGGCGCAGCCCGTACGGGCCGCGCGCGTGCCTGGCGCAGCCCGTACGGGCCGCGCGCGGGCCTGGCGCAGCCCGTACGGGCCGCGCGCGGGCCTGGCGCAGCCCGTACGGGCCGCGCGCAGGCCTGGCGCAGCCCGTACGGGCCGCGCGCCGGGTGTACGGGCCGCGCGCAGGCCACGACGGGCGACGGGGGGCGACGCGCGCACTCCCCTTTCCCCCATGCATGGCGTACACCACCCCGCACTCCCCTTTCCCCCATGCATGGCGTACACTACCCCGCACTCCCCTTTCCCCCATGCATGGCGTACACTACCCCGCACTCCCCTTTCCCCCATGCATGGCGTACACTACCCCGCACTCCCCTTTCCCCCATGCATGGCGTACACTACCCCGCACTCCCCTTTCCCCCATGCATGGCGTACACCACCCCGCACTCCCCTTTCCCCCATGCATGGCGTACACCACCCCGCACTCCCCTTTCCCCCATGCATGGCGTACACCACCCCGCACTCCCCTTTCCCCATGCATGGCGTACACCACCCCGCACTCGACGCGCGGGTCCCCGTCGCCCGTCGCAGCGCCTCCCGGGGGCGACGTGCCGAGTGACGGGGCAGGAACCCGTCGCGCGCCTCGGGGCACACGGCGGGCAGAGAACCGCCGCGCGCCTCGGGGCGCACGGCGGGCAGAAAACCGCCGCGCGCCTCGGGGCGCACGGCGGGCTGAAAACCCTAGTTTCGACGCCGCGCACCACGGGGCGCGCGGCGGACAGGGAGTAGCAGTAGCAGCGGAAGCAGTGAAGTGGGCCCACAGGCCAGGAACGTTAAGCTCTGATGCCATGTTGAGATAAGCGGTAGTCTTAGGAGCCATAGCTAGGAGAGTCCTAGCTAGGCAAGAGAGTTTAGGCGAAAGAGGGGGGTTGCACTAGCAAGAATGGGGATACAAATAGCAAACCCTAGAAGGGTTGTACTCGCTACAGAGCACCCCACTACAGGCTAGAGCATAATATTCTGACACGGAGAACAACAGGTTGAGGCGAACATCAGATGGGGTGCTATCAACTGAGGGACTAGGTTCCTCTACTGCTTGGACCTGGTTCACGCGACGGGGTGCGGCCCAGTTGGGAGGGCGCTTGTTGGTGGAGACACCATGGACATCGTACTACTCGTCATCTCGCTTCTTGAAGTAAGTTGCCTCAGGGTGGTTGGTGCCTCCGCATTTCTGCCCCGCACGTGGACCCTTCCTAATGATGTGGGGGCATGGGGAAAAGGAGTTGCGCCTTGGTCCCTGCTGGGAGCGGAATGGGATTCCAGGGGTGTAGCGCACAGCATTGATGGGTGCTTGGGCTGCAAGGTCCTTTTCGGCGAAAATGAGGGCCGATGCGACTTTCTCGAAAGTGAGTTCCTTGGTGGGAAGCTGCTTGAGCATGGAGCTGGTAACATTGTAGGCTGGGGTAAGTCCTACAAGGAGCCCAGCGAGGAACGCCATGATGACGTGGCGAGGCTGATGCGAGGCATGCTGATCTTGCTCGCGGAAACACACGACTGGCGGAAACACACGACTGGCGGAAACACACGATTGGCGGAAGAAGCTTTCGAAACGAGCGTGATGCGTGCGAAGCTAGCTGACTCTGAGAGTAGCGGGTATGCCTGGAGGGTTTGCGACACTGAAACTGGCCAGCGAGTCCGATTGCCCAGCACTGCGTCGACTGAGTCCAACGGTCCTAGATTCCTCCACGTAGCCGGCTGGCGGGTCCGGCAACCTGGCAAGCCTCAGGTACCATGCTTGTCCCATACGTGAATGGGAGCTTCCTACACCGAGCTCCGTCATGAAACTCTCCGCTTCCCTACTGCTCCTCGTCCTCGTTTGTACTCGCTCGCTCTCTCCTTATCCAACTGAAGACTTTTCTACTGTATTTGCCTCTCCGTTTTGGAAGGCTACACGCGATGCTCTTCAAGAAGGTGAGTTTGACCAATCTTTGTCTAACGAGGTCTCTGGTTGCTGGTTTTCAGGAAGTTTTTGCTACGTGGATCTTGCTCCCAGGTTTCCGGATCAGGTAAGTGCTCTGCTGGTGGTTGTTGGGTCTGACCAAGCGGTTGATTCCGTAATTTCAGGCAGCTTCTCCTGCTGGGTCTTCCTCCTCGGCCCTCCCGACTCCAAGGATTCCCCCAACTTTCGATGCCTTCCTTCCTCTGTACTGTCTCGCCAGTATTGCTGGAGTACCCTGTGCTGCCCGCTTCCATGCAAGCCTTCTGCGTCATCCCTGACCTGGTACCCTCGTCAGGTCTCCTTACGCTGGTGTAAGCTTCGAGCCTACCTTGCTGGCTTTCTCGCGGGTCGCTCTTCATTCCGTCATGCCTGCGTTCACGCCTCGTCTTGCCGATCTGGCAGACGATCACATCTGACGGGTTGCTTAGGCCATTGCCGAAGCGCCCAGTTCTCTCTCTCTACCAATTCCCCCCTCCTCGTGCGCTTCGGCTGCGTGTCGAATCGCCGTACCTTTGCTTCTATCTCTGGCTTGGCCCCGCTGTTGCAATGGCGGTGGTATTTACGTCCCCCACCTCTGATTCCTCTCCCATCCTTCGTCACCATGGCCTCCCACCACAACCCTGACGCCGTCATGACCGACGAGCAGCTTGCTGCTGGGGAAGATACGCTCACCGATCTCGGTGACTATGTCCTCGAAGATCTTCCCGACGGCGTCCCGCCGGAACTTAACGAAGAGCCTGCTGCTAAGAAGCAGTGTGGTGAAGGAACCTCCTCTGGCGCTGAGGCTAATGCGCCTACTGCCACGGCGCCGGCGCCGCAGCCGATGCAGCGTTCCAACTCCTCTGGCAGCTCGGCGGCCACGGCCCCCTCATCCTCCCGTCCGTCGGTTCCGCCCCGGCCGAGGTCCGCCCCGCCCTCGCGCCCCCAGCCTCCTGTCCAGGATGCCGCGGTGGAGCAGCCTGCCGCTGGATCTGCTGCCAATCTTTCCCTGTCGGTGCGTTACCGCAACCTCCGCCGTCACCGCTCGTCGGTGGGTACCGAGCTCCGGTCCCTGCGGCGGAACCCGCTATCGCTGGTCACCGTGATGTTCCCGGAGTGCTCTGAGGAGGTTCGGGAGAGTCTTCTCTCCCGGATCGCCGCTGCGCTCCCTGGATCGGCAGCCTTCAACGGTGCTGTTCCGCAGTTCGACACAGCCGCGGGCGAACCGCTGCGCCTGCCGCGCAGGACGTATCATCGTCACATCTACTCCTGGACCTCCGCCGCCGACGCACGCATCTTCCGCGGGCTGTTCGCGAAGCCTTTCATCGCGCGGTTCAACAACAGCCGCCCGATCGAAGTCAAGCTTTATGTTGATCCCTACCCGGATTTCTCGGCCGCAAAAGCTCGCGGTGACACGTACGCGGTGGTGCGGAACGTGCCGCTTGGCGTCCAGCCTGAGGACCTGCGTGAGACCCTGCTCCGCAGCAAAACCGAGGACGATCTCCCCTGGCTCGCGGACCTCCTGCACTTCCACCGGCTCAAGGATCCCTACGACGACTCGGCCTACTCTCAGATGCTCGGTCTCCCCGTCGCGGCAGAAGGCGACCCTGCCTTCGAGCGCATTTCGGCTGTGCTCTGGATCCCGGGACAGGAGGAACCTGCCTTCCTGAAACTCTCGTGCCACTCCTGCTCCCTGTGCTCAAGCAATCATCGGCTTGAGGATCACGCCTGCTTCGCCATCACCCGAGGCAAACGGGTTGCCAACAGGCAGTCCATCACCATGTCTGCGCTGCAGGCGGTTAACGGTAATTACCTCCCCCTGACCTTATCTTGGTTGATGCTAACCGACCTATCCTATTCGTTGGCCCTGTTTTTTTCGGTATCTTCCCTTATCCTCCTTTATTGGCTCCGTGCTTTCTTCGGCTCTGGCCCGGTTATCCTCCTCCCCCGCACCCTTGTCTCGGCTCTCCCTACGCCTCACCCCCCCCTCTCCTCAGGCAAGCTCCTTGGTCAGCACGCCTCCACGGCGGCGTTCAAAAAGGACCCCGGCCTGCTCCTCATCGGCCTGGACCTCGACGTGGAGGTGTGGGCCTGCTCTATCTGCGACTTTGTGTGCGGCATTGCGCTCGACAGTGCGATGTTCCACCTTTCCTCCGAGCAGCACCGCAAAAGGCTGCAGGACCCTGCGCACCAGAATGTCTCCAAGGACAAATATGGGGCCTGGAAGGCCGAGACCCTGGTGCAGCATCACCGCATCAAGGCTCTCTTGCAGTAGGCCTGCTTCTAGGCTGCTGCCGTGTGGCACCGCCCTGGCGCTGTTCAGGCGTTGCGTGTGTGTCTGGTTTAGGCACTCTACCTTTTACCATTGTTCCCTGCTGTACCCCCCTTAAAGGAGAGTTGCCTCTGGATTTCTTCTACCGTCCTTCCGCCCCCTGCCTACTCCGTGGATGCACATGCTCACGCATGTGGGGGTTTACAAGAGTTATCCAATGTTAATACCCCTCACAATCAGATGCATTAACGTGAATGGGATCAATAAACAAAAGAAAATCAATGCCCTTAGAGGATGGCACAATAAGCATGACCCCAAAGCAGATATCTCCATCCTGGTTGATACTCGGCTAGCCCTGAACTTTTACCGGCTTATCCTTACGCTCAAACCTTCCTCTTACGCGTATTGCCCTTCCCCCTACCTCAACCGCTCTAAACCAGGTGGAATCGCAGTGCTCATATTTCACAGTCAGGTTTCCATCTCCTCCCAGGAGCCTTCCCCGGACGGTAGAATACTCTCTGTGCATATCAATTTCCTTGGCGAGCAGCTTCGCCTGATCGCTGTCTACGCCTCCTCCACCCCTTCCCTCAGACGGCCCTGGTGGCGCACGCTCTTCTCCGCCGCGCTCGATGCCCCAACCTCCTCTGCTGGAACTATAGTAGCACGCGATTTCAATGCGGTCTGTTCGGTTGAGGACCGTAACAGGCCGCCACTTGCCCACGAAACCTCCGAAGGCGAAATCCTTTCCGCTGCCTTACAGCGACACGCACTGGCTGACTCCTTCCATGTAACTTACCCCAACGAACCTATGTTCTCGTTCTTCGCCATTCCTCGGACCCTCCCAGGGGACCCCCCCCCCCGCACCCCCCCCCCCCCCCCCCCCCACAGCCTCCCGCCTGGACCGGATCTATATCTCGTCTTCTCTCTCCTCCAGAGTTCTTGACGCGCAGTATGCCTCCGCTTCCAACGAACTCACAGACCACGACTTAGCTCCCTCCTGCATTATCCGCTGCGAGGCGCCTAATCTGGCCCCTAGGCCATGGCGGCTCCCCCACGCCCTTCTCCAACGCCCACACACCGCCCAGATCGTGTCCACGGCGTGCCTGGACCTCCCTCCTGACATTCACGGAGCATCCTGGGACGCTTGGAAGCTCTCTTTGTGCAACAAACTCAAAGCCTTTTGCCGGCAAGAAAGAATTCGAATCAAGAAAACCTCTGAACACTTACAGAATCTGGTTAGTCACCTCAGGATAGCTCTCGCGGTCAACCCCACTGACTCCGACACCGCCGAACAGTTACGAGTGGTATCCTAACAATTCTAACGTTACGAAGCCTTGCGCGATGCAGATATAGCGCTCAAAGCCAAACTTAAAGTTGAAGGGCCCCGCGAGATGGGGGTTTCATCCCTGCTGGTGGGCATCAACTCTCGCATTAAGGCCTCCCTAGTTACTTCCCTCCAATCACCGACAGGCGAGCTTGTCTCTGAACTCCCTGCAATGAGCGAGCTTTGCACAGCGTATTTCCGCGACCTCTACAGTGCCTCGCAACCTGTGCGGCCAGATGATAAATTCTGGACTCACCTTCCCCCCTCACTCATTCCCCCCAACATCACTCACCGCCTCTCTCAACCATTCTCCATGGCGGAAATCAATGCAGCAATCAAGAAACTTCCGCGTGGCAAAACTCCAGGGCCGGACGGCTTACCGGGCGAGTTATATCGCTCCTTCCATACCAAATTCTCCCCCGCCATTCACTCCTTGCTTCTCTCCCCGCCTACCGCCCTCCCCCCCTCTATGCTACAAGGCCGGACAGTGCTCATCCCCAAGAAGGGTGATGCCACTGTCCTTGACAATCTCCGCCCGATTACCTTAATGAACTCCGACTATAAGATACTCGCCATATGCCTCGCCGCCCGACTTCAACCTTTGCTTCCCTCTCTCATTCACCACTCCCAGGCGGCGTTCATTAAGTCCAGGAAAATTGGAGATACCCTCAACGACACTATGGACATCTTCGATTGGGCTACCACGCAGAACATTCCCCTCCTGGCCCTTACGGTTGACATACGCAAGGCCTACGACCTTGTGGATCGTGAATTCATGCTCTCCTGCCTCGCCTTTCTCGGCCTCCCCCCCCCCTTCATCCAGTGGGTGCGGCTTATGCACACAGGGACCACTACTCGGATCTCGGTCAATAACCTCTGCGGACCAGCCATCCCGGTTCGCTCTGGCGTCCGCCAGGGGTGCCCCCTCGCCCCCCTCCTCTTCCTTGGTGTTATTGAAATTTTCCACCGCTACTCCTCCCACTTCCTCCCCGGGTTCCCCATCTCCCGCACGCAGCGTCGCCTCATGGCATGCTATGCTGATGACGTGACTATCTTTCTCAACTCTGACCAGGAGCTCCAAAAGGCATCTCACGTGCTCCTTTCCTTCGCTGCTGTGTCAGGCGAACACCCTAACTGGGCCAAATGTGCCATCCTCCCTTTCAACATCCCCCCCGCTTCAGTCACCCACGCCGGCTCCATACCCATTCGGGGCGAGGAAGAATTCGAACGAATTTTGGGGATCCATGTGGGCCTTTCCGGCCGATCCGAGGTCACCTGGGAACGAGCTCAGATGCAAATTAAACGCTCGGCCAGTTTCCTTGCCAAGCTCCATGCCTCCTCCACCTGCCGAAAGAATCTCTCCAACATCTTCCTCAACTCCACCCTCTCCTTTCCCGGCAGATTCCCACCCCCCCCCGACCCCTCTATCCATGCCATCGACGCGGTTGTAGGAAACCTGCTCTCCTCATCCAAATTCCGCGAGGAGGGCCGGTCCACACGCCTCCTCACTCATAGTACCATCTACAACAAGGTTGAGCATGGCGGGCTCGGCGCAATCCGCCCTTCCACGCAAATCCTCGCGCTTAACGCTCAGCGTGCTCTGCGCCGTTTCTCCCACCTTCCCAATGCTGCGGTCGCCAGGGAGCTGGTTCCCATCCCCTTCGGGCTGCACGGCTTTATGCTTCATAAGGACTTCCCCTCAGTGCTGCCTGACTCAGTACCTGCCCGGTTGCGAGAGGAAGTTAAAGCTCTCGCGAAACTAAACCTCACCATTCTTCCCCCCCGCCCAGAGTTCTGGTGTATTCTGGCAGAACCCGTCCCTTACAACCGATTCCTTCTCAAGTCGGACGATCGCCCCTTCGGCCGCCTCAAAGATGAAGTCTTCCTTCTTACGGGGGAGGTACGCGTTGGTCACATCGTCCGACGCGACGCGACTGGAGCCCGACGTATGACCGAGGCCGAAATCATGCTTAAATACCCTCCAAGCAAATACCCATGCAGCCGTCGAATTCTCCAGGAGGTCTATGACGCGATGCCCGACGATTGGTGGGCGGCTTTATCCTCCTCTCACAGCCTCGTTCCGCTAACCCCCGGAGATTGGGCGCTAAAAGCGGCTGACATGAACAAACCCCCCCAACTCGTCTACGAAGTCGAAGCTGCGCCTTCTGACACCTCCTTCCAGGCCTGCGCATATCGCGTTGATACCGTCGGACGAATCTCGAAGGATGTCGAGGCACGATGCCTCTTATCCTGTCGAGACATGGTGCAGGTATTCGTCGTCGATCGGTGGCTAGGCGGGACCTACTGCTCGGGTGCAGGGCTAGCGGCGCGGTTCGAGATCCTGCAGGAAGGCCCCCCCTCGCTAGCAACTATCAGGAACTTAGCTTACAACCAGCAGCTGTCAGAATATTATGCTCTAGCCTGTAGTGGGGTGCTCTGTAGCGAGTACAACCCTTCTAGGGTTTGCTATTTGTATCCCCATTCTTGCTAGTGCAACCCCTCTTTCGCCTAAACTCTCTTGCCTAGCTAGGACTCTCCTAGCTATGGCTCCTAAGACTACCGCTTATCTCAACATGGTATCAGAGCTTAACGTTCCTGGCCTGTGGGCCCACTTCACTGCTTCCGCTGCTACTGCTACTCCCTGTCCGCCGCGCGCCCCGTGGTGCGCGGCGTCGAAACTAGGGTTTTCAGCCCGCCGTGCGCCCCGAGGCGCGCGGCGGTTTTCTGCCCGCCGTGCGCCCCGAGGCGCGCGGCGGTTCTCTGCCCGCCGTGTGCCCCGAGGCGCGCGACGGGTTCCTGCCCCGTCACTCGGCACGTCGCCCCCGGGAGGCGCTGCGACGGGCGACGGGGACCCGCGCGTCGCCCCCCGTCGCCCGTCGTGGCCTGCGCGCGGCCCGTACACCCGGCGCGCGGCCCGTACGGGCTGCGCCAGGCCTGCGCGCGGCCCGTACGGGCTGCGCCAGGCCCGCGCGCGGCCCGTACGGGCTGCGCCAGGCCCGCGCGCGGCCCGTACGGGCTGCGCCAGGCACGCGCGCGGCCCGTACGGGCTGCGCCAGTCCCGCGCGCGGCTCGGACCGCCTGCGCGCGGTTCGGGAGGCTGTGCCAGGCCCGTGGGCGCCCCGTTCTTCGCTGCCCCTGTCCTCCCCGCTGTCCCCCGTGCTTCTGAAGGCGCCCCACCCCTCCTTCTGCCCGTTCTCCTGGATTAGGGTTTGGGGTTGGGGGGTATGGGGGTGCAGCTTCTGTGTGCCGTTCCCTGCTCCTCCTCCTCCTCCGTCTCCCTGTGCTGCAGCTGCCGCTGAGGGGGGTGGACCTGTTGGAGCCGTCGGAGTGGTACTAAGGGGGGGTGAAGGGGGAGTGGAGCTAGCGGTGTAGCAGCGGGTGTGTGTCGAGGGATGTGGGACTGTTGGGGGAGGTTGAGGGGAGGTTGCCGTCGTGTCGTACGCAGCGCCTGTACTCCGGGGCACTCACTCCCGGTAGCTCAGAGAGCCGGTTGCGCCGTCGCCTGTGGGTCCGTTGCTCCTGCTGCTCGTCTTAGCCGCGGAGCCTGTTACTCCTGTACTCCGGGGCACTCACTCCCGGTAGCCACTGTGTCGCACCAGAGCCGTCTGTTGCCCGTGTGACTGCAGCTTCAGTCGTCGCCTCCCATCTACTCTCCTCTCGCCAGCCCTCCTCCTCCTCACTTCCCCGTTGTGACTACCACTAGCTTTGCTCATAATTGTGAACTTTAAACTATTGCTTCTTAAACTTGTGCTCAGAATGTGTGGTGACATTGTGATCCACCCTGAGCTTGTACTGCTTTGCTTGCTCTGCTGATTACACCCCACTTTGGCTATGGGGGTGTGTCAGAATATTATGCTCTAGCCTGTAGTGGGGTGCTCTGTAGCGAGTACAACCCTTCTAGGGTTTGCTATTTGTATCCCCATTCTTGCTAGTGCAACCCCTCTTTCGCCTAAACTCTCTTGCCTAGCTAGGACTCTCCTAGCTATGGCTCCTAAGACTACCGCTTATCTCAACAGCAGCCGCTTCCTCACGCCCAACGCTGGATCAATATTCTTCCGGACCCAGGACCCAGACTCATTCCTAATCTCACCCACGTTTTCCTACTGGAGCAGCCATCCTCCCAACGCGATGTGCTGTTCCGGCTCTACTCACGAGCCTTGCCTTCAGGATCCAGATTTCTCTACGCAGCTGACAAGGGAATTTGCGGCGGTTGCAACACAGGAATTGTCGAAGATCTCCCTCACCTGTTTTTTTAATGCGGCGTGGCCCAACCTTTCACCGAGGCGCTTCAACGCTCCGCACGCGCACATCTGGGAATTTCAACCACCGCAGCTTTGACTCTGTTCCCCCTCGCATCAGCGGCTGGACAAGTGGCCCCGTGGAGCCTATTGGTCGGGGCAGCAGCGAAAGTCATCTTGAACTCCCGCTGCAGCCACCGATACAGAAAGACCCCCTTCAACTCCCACGAAGCCCTCCACACCTGTCAAACTTATACACTATAGTCTGTGTAGGCTGTAGTGGGGTAGCTTATATGGGGTACAACATTCTAGGGTTTGGTACTTGTACTCCTCATGCTGCTCAATGCATTCATTCTCGTTCCAATTGTCACATGGTATAGAGCAGGTTCCCTCGTGGGAACTGTTCCTAGGGCCCACCGTAAGATTTTTTTTTCCTGCCCGGAGCGCGCTCCGCCCCTGCCCGAGTCGCGCTCCCCTCCCCTCGCTTCCCTTAGCGGCCCCGTCGCGCCGCGCTTCCGGCCCCGGCGCCGCCTCTGCTGGCCCCGGCGCCCCCCCCGTCGCGACCCCGCGGCCCCACCCTCGCGTCGCCCTGCGCGGCGTCGTTACAGCCGCCCGCGACCCCGACGCCGCCCGTCGCGACCCCGTCGCCCTTCGCGCCGCCCGCGACCTCGTCGCCGCGGCCGCCTGCGACCCTACCGCTGCAGCCGCCCGCGACCCTGTCGCCGCAGCCGCCCGCGACCCTGCCGTCGCCGCCGCCCGAGACCCTGCTGTCGCAGCCGCCCGCGACCCTACCGTCGCCGCCGCCCGCGACCCTGCAGTCGCAGCCGCCTGCGACCTCGTCGCCGCGGCCGCCTGCCCTCCCGTCGCCGCAGCCGCGCGCGACTCCTGTGGTCGCAGCCGCCCGCGACCCCCCGTCGCCCCACCCGTGCGACCCCACCGCCGCCCTTTGCGGCCCCTTCGCCATCCCTTCGCGGCCCCGCCGAGCAGCCGCGCCGCCGAGACGCCGCCGCCGCCGAGCCGCCGAGCCGTCGAGCCGCCGAGCCGCCGAGCCGTCGTTGCCGCCGAGTTGCCGAGCCGTCGAGCCGCCACTGCCGCCGTGCTGCCGAGCCGCCGAGACGCCGGTGCCGACGAGCTGCCGAGCCGCTGAGCCGCCGAGCCGCCGTTCCTGCCGTCCCGGCCCTGTTCCTGCCGACGCGCCTCGGTCCTTCTCGCCTGCCCGGTAAGAGCAGCGCCTCCACCACTGCTCTGCCCTAGCCTGCTGCTCTCACTGCTAGTCTACTGCTGTCATGGCTTCCCCCAGTGTCCTCACTTTTGACGCTGAGGGTCGGGCCATTGACTTTGACGTCTGGGTAGATGACCTGCAGCTTTTCCTACTGAGCGACAGAGCAGACGGCCTCTCCCTTTTTGACCTCACCTCTGGTGCCTCTCCTGCCCCTGCTGCTGATGCTGACCCCACTGTTCGCTCCCAGTGGGCCACACGCGATGCTGCTGCCCGCCTTGCTGTGCGTCGCCACTTGCCGACCTCTGAGCGTGCGCACTTTAGCCAGTACAAGAGTGCTAAGACCTTGTACGACGCTGTAGTTGCGCGCTACTCTTCCCCTGCCACTGCTGCGCTTAGCCGCCTTATCCTACCGTACCTCTTCCCTGACCTCGCCGCTTTTCCCACTGTCGCTGACCTCATTACGCACCTTCGCACTAGTGACACTCGCTACCGCGCTGCGCTTCCTGCTGAGTTCTGCGCCAAGAACCCCCCCCCCATGTACATCACCCTCTACTACATAGTCACCCGGCTCCCTGACACCCTTCGCCCGGTTAGGGACCACTTCCTCTCTGTTTGCCCCACCACCCTCACCGTTGACCTCCTCGAGGAGCGCCTGCTCGCGGCAGAGAAGAGCATAGTCGCAGTAGGTGCCTCTCGTGGTGACCCTCGTACCCCTGTCTTTGAGGGGTGCTCCCCCTCTCCCCTCTTGCCCTCTGTTGCCTCTGCTGCTGCGGCCGACCTCGTTGGTCTTGAGTCGGTCGCTGCGGCGTCTGCCCCTAGCGGGAGACGCCGCCCTGGCAAGGGCAAGGGGGGCAAGGGTGCTGGAGGGGCTGGAGGGGGCGGTGGAGGCGGAGGTGGAGGTGGTGGAGGGGGTGGGGGTGGCGGTGGGGGTGGTGGCGGGGGTGGGGGCGTCGGTGGCGGGACTGGAGGTGGAGGTGGAGGCGGCGGTGGCGGTGGGAGCGGAGGTGGCGGAGGTGGCGGTAATAGAGGAGGTAGCGGCGGAGGCGGCGGAGCTGGTCGGGGTGGCGCTGCGCAGAGGGGTGGCTCCGGTGGTGGTGCGCGCCAGCAGCAGCAGCAGCAGCGTACCCGTGAGACCCCTTCCCCCCAGCAGCTTCGTGAGTGGTACGCTGCTCGTCAGCGGGGTGGGGGTGCTGGCCCCTGCACCTACGTTCTCCGTACCGGCGACCGGGCGGGTGAGCAGTGTGGAGGCCCGCACCCCACCCAGCGCTGCTTCGGTCGGCTGACAGACGCGTGGCGCCACCAGTTCCCCGACGCTACGGAGATCCCTCGCTGGGGCGAGCTGTCTAGGGCGGGTGTTGCAATCTATGATCTTGACTTTGATGCTATTCTTGCTGCCATGTATGCTGTGACTATTAGTGATGAGGGTGACTGTTACCGGTGTTTCCCGCCTGACCCAGGCATAGAGGCTGCTGCGCTAGGTACTTGTGAGGCTGCTGCTCTAGGTGCCAGTGCGTCTGCTGCCCCAGGTGCCGGTGAGTTTGCGCTCTCAGGTGCTGCGTCGCCCCCGGACACCCACACCTTCACCCTTGACTCGGGTGCTTCCCGCTCCTTCTTTCGAGACTGCACCACTCTCACACCGCTCAGTCGGCCTGTTGCGGTCTCCCTAGCGGACCCCTCTGGGGGTCCTGTCCTTGCTCACTACTCCACTGTCCTACCGTGTCCAGCGGTCCCGTCTGGCTCCCTGTCGGGTCTCTACCTCCCCTCGTTCTCTACGAACTTGGTGGCGGGTGCTGACCTCCAGGATGCAGGAGTTGACCAGTTCACCCCTGCGCGTCAGCGGGTGACCCACTGCACTTGTGCGGACACGGGCCGCCACTTGGCCACGTTTGCTCGTCGGCCAGGGTCGAGCCTGTACACACTGACTACTGAGTCTTCCCCAGTCACTGAGTCTGCTCAGGTAGCCGCGTCGGGTCAGGTGTTTGCTGCGGCGTCCAGGTCTGGTCCTGAGTCTGCCCCCTGCTCGTGTCGTCTCCTGTCTCACCGGACTCTCCTCTGGCACCACCGTCTTGGTCACCCCTCCCTGCCTCGCCTTCGAGGCATGGCTTCCCGTCTTCTTGTTTCTGGTCTCCCCCGGTCCCTCCCTCCTCTTCCTCCGGGGCCTGCCCCCACCTGCGTTCCCTGCGTCGAGGGGCGGCAGCGCGCTGCTCCTCACTCCTCCGAGTTTCCTCCGACAGAGGCTCCGCTGCAGACGCTTCACATGGACGTGTGGGGCCCAGCCCGCGTCCGTGGGCAGGGTCAGGAGCGCTACTTCCTGCTGGTGGTTGACGACTACTCGCGTTACACCGCAGTCTTCCCCTTGCGCAGCAAGGGTGACGTCACTGAGGTGTTGATCGCCTGGATCCGCGCGGCTCGTCTCCAGCTCCAGGAGAGTTTCGGCTCCGACTTTCCTGTTCGGCGTCTGCACTCCGACCGAGGCGGAGAGTTCTCCTCTGACCTTCTGCAGACCTTCTGTCGCACACGAGGCATCCGCCAGACCTTCACGCTTCCGGACTCTCCGCAGCAGAATGGGATTGCTGAGCGCCGCATCGGCATGGTCATGGACGTCGCTCGTACGTCCATGATCCATGCGGCTGCTCCCCATTTTCTGTGGCCGTTTGCGGTTCGGTACGCGGCGCATCAGCTCAACCTTCACCCCCGGGTCTCCATGCCGGAGACCTCCCCTGCTTTGCTGTGGACGGGGAAGGTTGGTGATGCGTCGCGTTTTCGGGTCTGGGGATCTAGGGCGTTTGTCCGCGACTTGTCTGCGGACAAGCTGTCCTCTCGTGCTGTTCCCTGCGTCTTCCTTGGCTTTCCCCCTGACGCGCCAGGCTGGCAGTTCTACCACCCCACCTCGCGCCGTGTCTTCGCGTCCCAGGACGTCACCTTTGACGAGTCGGTTCCCTACTACCGTCTCTTCCCCTACCGCACTGCGTCCCTCCCTCCCCCGCCGCTCTTCCTTACACCAGGCCCCCCTCCGGTAGACCCCCTCCCCCCTCAGGGTCCTGCTCCCTCAGGTGTGTCCCAGGTAGATGCAGTTGAGCCAGTCGAGGTAGCTGTTGACTCTGGTACTGCTGGTGGTGCTGAGCCTGGGGGTGCTGGGTCTGGGGGTGCTGCGACTGGGGTTGCTGGGTCTGGGGGTGTTGCGACTGGGGGTGCTGAGCCTGGGGGTGCTGAGCCTGGGGGTGCTGAGCCTGGGGGTGCTGCGCCTGGGGGTGCTGCGCCTGGGGGTGCTGCGCCTGGGGGTGCTGCGCCTGGGGGTGCTGAGTCTCGGAGTGCGGAGCCTGAGAGTGCTGGACCTGCTCGTCTGGCGTCTGGTGGTGCTGAGCCTGGCGGTTCCTCCGGTGCTTCGTCCCGGCGGGAGCTGCTCTCTCCACAGGAGCTGCGTGAGTGGTTCGCCCGGCGCTGGCGACGTGCTGCTGGAGCTGGTGGTGCTGCAGGAGCTGGGGGTTCTACTGCTGCTGAGAGTGCTGGTGCCGAGGGTCCCAGAGGTGCTCGTACCGAGTGTACTGGAGCTGCTGACCCTACGAGTGCTCCTCCTGCTGGAGCTGGTGGTGCTGCTGGTGTTGCTGGCGCTGGAGCTGCTGGTGCTGCTGGAGCTGCTGGTGCTGCTGGTGCTGCTGGTGCTGCTGGTGCTGCTGGTGCTACTGGCGTTGGTGCTGCTGGAGCTCCTGGAGCTGGAGCTGCTGCGTCTTCGGGTGGTCCGGCTGGAGCTGGAGCTACTGGGGGTGTTGGCGCTGGGGGTGCTCCTGGCGCTGGTGCTGCTGGGGGTGCTGGAGTTGGAGCTGCTGGAGTTGCGGGTCTTCCTGGTGCTGGTGCTCCCGCTGGGGGCGCTGGTGCTGTTCCTGCTGGCACTGGTGGAGCTGCGCGGCCGCGGCCGTACTTCGTTCCGCTCCTTGAGCAGGTTCTTGGTCTTCCGTCCTCTCTTGGTCCTGCTCCTGCCTTAGAGTGTCCGCCTCCTGTCCAGTCTGAGTCACAGTTACAGCCACCTTCCCCGCTTCCTTCTCCTTCTCCCTACACTGGTCCTACTGGAGGTCTTGCTGAGCGTCGTGAGCCTGCGTCTCGCCCTGCGTCGCCTGTCCGTGCTGCTCGCACTAGTGGTCGTGGTTCGCGTCAGCGTCCTCCCCCTGTCCCCGGCACGCACCGGATGTCTCTGCGTCCTTCCACTGCTCCGCTGCGTGCCCCTTTGCCCTCTCCTCCAGCGTCCTCTCTTCCTGAGCTTCCTGACCCGGAGTCGGACTCCCTTCGTGCTGCGCGTCCTACTGTCACGCGTCTCCTTGCTACTGTCGTCACTGACCCTTCCTTTGAGTCTACTGCTGCGTCTGCCCTAGTTGCTGAGCTTGTCGACTTCGCTGCTCGCTGTCGCCTAGACTACGCTACCAGTCTCGTCGCTGAGTCTGAGTCTGTCTGTCCTCCGTCCGTCGGGGGTGAGTGTGCTCTTGGCACGGACGTCCTAGAGGACAGGCAGGAGGAGTTCCAGTGCTTGGCTGCTGTTTCACCTCATCTCGTGTCCATGCTGCTTGCCCCTGAGGGAGACCCGGATGCACTTGACATCCCGACTCCGCGCTCTTACGCGGAGGCGATAGAGGGTCCCTACTCCTCTCAGTGGCAGGCAGCCATGGACGCAGAGATGGCTTCCTGGAAGTCCACAGGCACCTACGTTGACGAGGTTCCCCCGCCTGGGGCGAACATCGTCAGTGGCATGTGGATTTTCAGGGTGAAGCGGCCGCCGGGTTCTCCGCTTGTCTTCAAGGCGCGTTACGTGGCTCGTGGTTTCAGTCAGCGGCAGGGAGTTGACTACTTTCAGACTTTCTCTCCCACCCCGAAGATGACCACTCTTCGGGTACTGCTGCACATAGCTGCTCACCGAGACTACGAGCTGCACTCTCTTGACTTCAGCACTGCTTTCTTGCAGGGCAGCCTTCACGAGGAGATCTGGCTGCGCCGCCCACCTGGCTTCACTGGGACGTTTCCTCCTGGCACCCAGTGGAGCCTCCGGCGGCCAGTCTACGGTCTCCGCCAGGAGCCTCGTGAGTGGCACGACACACTGAGGACTACACTTGCGGCCCTTGGGTTTGCTCCTTCTACTGCCGACCCGTCGCTGTTTCTGCGCACCGACACTTCTTTGCCGCCGTTCTACATCCTCGTGTACGTCGACGACTTGGTCTTTGCTACAGCTGACACTGCTGGACTTGCCTACGTGAAGTCCGAGCTGCAGAAGAGCCACGTGCACAGACCTGGGTGAACTGCGCAGCTACCTTGGCTTGCAGATCACCAGGGACAGAGCACAGCGCACCATTACCCTGACTCAGTCACATATGGTGCAGCAGGTCCTTCAGCGCTTCGGCTTCACGTACTCCTCGCCTCAGGCCACTCCTCTGCCTACGCGCCACTCGCTCTCAGCTCTGCCTTCGGATGAGTCCGTAGAGTCGAGTGGCCCGTACCCAGAGCTTGTCGGCTGCCTCATGTACCTGATGACCTGCACTCGACCTGACCTTGCATACCCTCTTAGCATTCTGGCACGCTTTGTTGCTCCTGGGAGACACAGACCAGAGCACATGGCTGCAGCGAAGAGGGTGTTGCGCTACTTGTGCAGTACGTCGGGCATGGGGCTTGTGCTTGGAGGGCATAGTTCAGTGGTCCTCACTGGTCACGCAGACGCTTCTTGGGCTGACGACCAGGCTACGCAGCGGTCGTCACAGGGTTACATCTTCAGCCTTGGTTCCGGCTCTGTTTCTTGGCGGTCTACCCGCTCGTCTTCTGTTCTCGGCTCCAGCTGTGAGGCTGAGATCTACGCAGGGGCCATGGCTGCACAGGAGCTACGCTAGCTCACCTACCTGCTGACTGACCTGGGAGAGCCGCCTCGTTCTCCTCCAGTGCTGTACGTAGACAACAAGGCCATGCTGGCCTTGTGTCATGAGCACAGACTGGAGCACAGAACGAAGCACATCGCTCTCCGCTACTTTCTTGCTCGTGAGCTGCAGCAGCGTGGTCAGCTGCGCCTTGCTTACGTGGCCTCTGAGGCCAACACTGCTGATATCTTCACTAAGGCACTCGCGCCTTGTGATCATCAGCGCTTCTGCACTCTGTTAGGTCTTGTACCTACCTTGCCTCACTTGCTTACTTCTTGACCTTGCTTGTACTGTTACATATATATACCTGCCTGTTTAGCTTTATATATATGTGACCTTGCATGTGAACTGGCCTTGTGGCCTTGAACTTGTGCTCAGACTGTGTGGTGACGTTGTGATCCACCCTGAGCTTGCTTTGCCTTGCTTTGCTTGACTGGTCTTGTGACCCCTTGTTCTCCCCCACTTTGCCTATGGGGGTGTGTCAAACTTATACACTATAGTCTGTGTAGGCTGTAGTGGGGTAGCTCATATGGGGTACAACATTCTAGGGTTTGGTACTTGTACTCCTCATGCTGCTCAATGCATTCATTCTCGTTCCAATTGTCACAACACCGTCCTCAACCTGTTCCTTATGGCCTTCAAAATTCTACTCTGGCGTGCGTCCAATGGTTCCAAGAAAAAGCGGGACAAGGCAGCTCGCCGAATCAAGCTTGCCCTCCAGCACCGTTTCTTCACCTTTCCCGAGCCCAATGTCCCAGCAATCCACCCCGACTTCCGAGCCACGTGGCTCCTCACCGACCCCTTCCGCCCTCCCTAAACCATCTCACTGCCACATGTCAGCTGGATTTGCATTCACTTCTCCGGGTGCCTCCACCCTTCGTGGTGGGAGGATGACGTATTTGTCAGGAATACTAGGAGTGGGGCCTAGGCTTAGTAGCCTAGGCCCACACTAGGAGGTAGTAGGTTGTGCCCTAGGACTAGGGTTTGTGGTATACGAAGGAGAATTGGAGAAGTGAGAATGGGAATGATGATTGAACTAGCAAGCAGCAGGATACATATAGGAAACCCTAAGGGGTTGTACTCACTATGGAGCACCCCACTGCAGGCTAGACAAATAACATAATCCGACACACCCCCATAGCCAAAGTGGGGTGTAATCAGCACACGTGAGAAGTCACAGCAATAGTTCACAATTATCAGCAAAGCTAGTGGCAGTCACAGGAGGCCAGTGAGGAGGAGGAGGAACTGTGGAGGGAGAGAAGAGAGGAGGCGACTACTGAAGTTGCAGACACACGGGCACCAGGAGCACCAGGCTGCAACCTCCTCCAACTGTCTCACTCCCCCCTACACACACCCCCAGGGTCACCACTCGCTCCACGCCCACATCACCCCCCTAGCGCCACTCCCTCGTCTCCCACACATCCACCCCCGCAGCGGCAGCTGCAGCAGTGGGAGACGGAGGAGAAGGAAGGGGCGACGCACACGGAGCACCCCCACACCCGCCACCCCCACACCCTCCTGTCCAGGGGACGCAGGGGGGGGGGGGGGGGGGGGGGGGGGAGGGCCGGGGCGGGAGAGCGCACGAGGGCGCAGGCAACCGCGCGTGCAGAGCAACAGCGCGGAGCAGGTAGGGTAGAGCGCACGAAGGCGCGGGCAACCGCGCGTGCAGAGCAACAGCGCGGAGCAGGGCGCACGATGCACGAGGCACGAGGCACGAAGCACGAGGCACGAAGCACAAGGCACAAGGCACAAGGCACGAGGGCGCAGGTAGGTAGGTAGGTAGGTAGAGCGCACGAGGGCGCGGGCAACCGCGCGTGCAGAGCAACAGCGCGGAGCAGGTAGGGTAGAGCGCACGAGGGCGCGGGCAACCGCGCGTGCAGAGCAACAGCGCGGAGCAGGTAGGGTAGAGCGCACGAAGGCGCGGGCAACCGCGCGTGCAGAGCAACAGCGCGGAGCAGGGCGCACGATGCACGAGGCACGAGGCACGAGGCACGAAGCACAAGGCACAAGGCACAAGGCACGAGGGCGCAGGTAGGTAGGTAGGTAGGTAGAACAAACGAACACAGGCAAAACAAACAAATACACGAGCAAGACGAACGAACACGGAGCGGGCTAGAAGCGACACATACAGCACGAGAGGAACAAGACTGCGGGTGACAGGAAAAGGAGGCGGCTGCACCGGGACCAGGAGCGGCGTCGCATGCAGCTGCAGGGTCGGCTGCTGCAAGGGCGGCTGCTCCAGGGGCGGCGTCGCGGGCCCAGGGGCGGCTGCACCAGGGGCGGCGGCTCCAGTGGCGGCTGCTCCAGAGGCGGCTGCTGCAGAGGCGGGCGACTCCAGGGGAGGCTGCTGCAGTGGCGGGCGGCTCCAGGGGCGGCTGCTGCAGAGGCGGCTGCTCCAGGGGCGGCTGCTGCTGTGGCGGGCGACTCCAGGGGCGGCTGCTGCAGTGGCGGGTGGCTCCAGGGGCGGCTGCTGCAGTGGCGGGCGACTCCAGGGGCGGCTGCTCCAGGGGCGGCTGCTGCAGTTGCTGGCGGCTCCAGGGGCTGCTGCTGCAGTTGCTGGCGGCTCCAGGGGCTGCTGCAGCAGTTGCGGGCGGCTCCAGGGGCTGCTGCTGCAGGTGCTGGCGGCTCCAGGGGCTGCTGCTGCAGTTGCGGGCGGCTCCAGGGGCTGCTGCTGCAGTGGCGGGCGGCTCGAGGTGCGCCATGGCCTGGCGCAGTCCGTACGGGCCGCGCGCGGGCCTGGCGCAGCCCGTACGGGCCGCGCGCGGGCCTGGCGCAGCCCGTACGGGCCGCGCGCGGGCCTGGCGCAGCCCGTACGGGCCGCGCGCAGGCTGGACGGGCCGCGCGCGGGCCCTACGGAGGTCGCTCGGGCCACGACGGGCGACGGGGGGCGACGCGCGGGTCCCCGTCGCCCGTCGCAGCTCCTCCCGGGGGCGACTCGCGGAGTGACGGGGCAGAAAGCCGCCGCGCGCCTCGGGGCGCACGGCGGGCAGAAAACCGCCGCGCGCCTCGGGGCGCACGGCGGGCAGAAAACCGCCGCGCGCCTCGGGGCGCACGGCGGGCAGAAAACCGCCGTACGCCCCGAGCGCACGGCGGGATGAAAAATTAGGGTTTGGCCGCCGCGCACCACGGGGCGCGCGGCGGACAGTACGGCAGCGGAAGCAGGTGGTGGGCCCATACAGGAAGGCGGCAGGAACGTGCCTGCTCTGATACCATGTCAGGAATACTAGGAGTGGGGCCTAGGCTTAGTAGCCTAGGCCCACACTAGGAGGTAGTAGGTTGTGCCCTAGGACTAGGGTTTGTGGTATACGAAGGAGAATTGGAGAAGTGAGAATGGGAATGATGATTGAACTAGCAAGCAGCAGGATACATATAGGAAACCCTAAGGGGTTGTACTCACTATGGAGCACCCCACTGCAGGCTAGACAAATAACATAATCCGACAGTATTCCTACGTGCTCCCCTGGCGGGAGCCGAGCTGTAGCTTGCATCCTTATCTAGCTGCTTGCATGTTTGTAAACAGGTTACGACCTCAATAAAACCTTAAACCTTAAACCCATACGTGAATGGACTGCGTGTGACTGGTCTGCTTCGCATTTTCGCCACGCATTTTCGCGATACAGTCGATGCTCAGCCTATCACAAAAATTTGCTTATCACAATTAGAAAATCAATCACTCGCGAACGTTTTGCCTGTGAGTGGTGATTGTGCTGATTTCAGGGTACAGTCACCAAGTCGAGGAAGAAAAACATCTACAGTTCATAAACAACAACGGCTGCCTGTCATCAGAATTGTTTACCTGGTTACGAACTTAAACCCCCAGTCTCGTTTCACATTCCAATTTCATTTTACAATCACATTTTTGCCCGTGGCGACAAGGGCGAATGTGGCGAAATGTCCAAAACTCGTTTCACTCACATGCCGCCCGCCTACCTGGTGTTCTTGAAATGAGCACCGACTGTACCGGCAACACCGAGGAAAGTACAGTCTGGCTTCCACATGGTCCGACATAAGGGCGCGTGTGTTCCGTTTCCAAGTTTGAAAATGAGCTCGACTTTTTTTGTGGTTACCGCTTTCGTCTGTTTCTTTTATGACATCTGAAGAACATCGCGAATCTTAGGGCTTATGAGAGTTCGAACGTGAAGAGTGAACCTGACTCAAGTCGAATAGGTGAACCTGCTTGTACACGTTGAATCGAGCGTGTGTGTTTTCGGCACTCACGGAGACCATGCGAAATTGACGAGTGCATTGCGGAACAAAAAGTAACAGTATGTTGACTTTGCGAGCATGTACCGGGTAACATGAAGGTTCGAACTTTAGTGTTCGACCTTGCGTGCGTGATTACATCTTTGGAGTAATGTTCAAACTTCGCTACAAGGAAAGTCAAATTCCATTC